TGTTGTACCTCTCGAGATGGATAGATGAACATGGAGATATCTGCAAGCTAATTTTGCTGTGAGACGAGCTTTATGGTCTTCGTAGCGATGGTTGCCAGTGTAGTTTGTGAACAAGATGTTTGTGGTGTTATTTGACCCTGGAGGGTTCCTTTGTGAACCTTGGGCCGCGTTGGTTACATCTTGTACTACCAGAAAGCTGGCATGGAGTTCAACGAGATTTGCAGCATTGGAACTTTGCAGAGTATCCTGAGAGAGTAGAGCGGTAGCGTAGTTAGTGCGTTGGTTGTGGCTGAGAGAGAGAAGCAAAAGAGGGAATCTGGGATTTGAAATTTGCAATTTGAGTTTGAATGCTTTGATTTGAGCATGGTGAACGGAGTCATTGAGAGTGTGACGATTCGTGCCATGGAAAGAACCTGAATTGAAAGTTTTGACATACAACAAAAGAAAGAGAGAAAGAGAAAGAAATGGGCTGGATGGCAGAGGCGCTGCATAGGTCCATAGGGAACTGGATGGCAGAGGCGCTGCATAGGTTCCAAAACGAAACGAAACAGAGAGTTGTATGAAGTCAAAGCGTGGACCAGATTGCAAGACGTTGCGAGGTTCACACAGGAGCTGTTTTGCAGACGTGCATAGGCTCAGGTAACAGGTCGAATAAATAAGAAAGAAAGAAATGGGCTGGATGGCAGAGGCGCTGCATAGGTCCATAGGGAACTGGATGGCAGAAGCGCTGCATAGGTTCCAAAGATGAAACAAAGAAATGCGAATGTAATGTCAGTTGTGGCTCGACATACTGTGTAAGTGAGAGACGAAGTATGGAGCTGTGTTGTGTTGAAATTGAACTTGAACTTGACTTGACTGCGTGTCTGGACTTCTCATGTTTTTCGTACATATTTCATTCCATTGTTTTTCCTGCATTTTCCATGAGACAACTCTTGGCTCAGCATTTTGGATATCCAATCGCCCTGAAGATTGCTTCAAGATCCCGTGTATCAATGGCAATGGAGTCCATTCGTCTTTGGTTGGCCTTGACTCCTAAGCAGTTCGATGACTTGAACAATGGCAAGGAGGTCCAGCCTGACGAATATTCCAAACGTTTTGGACTACGAAAAGACCCGATTGCTGCCGTTGAACGTGCACAGTACTTCAATGATTGGACACCAGAAGGACCCAAAGGTGAGTTCTGTGCCAAGGACTATGTACTGGTTGAGGTTGAGCTGACTGCCATTGGCTATCTCCAGAAGGCCGAGGCAGGCATCCTTTTGAAGTATAAGCCCCACGAGTATCGCTGGCAAGGAACTATGAAGTCTGTGGAATTCGACGAGAACGGCAACCTTTTGTACAAGTTTGGATCGGAAGCCATGAAAATTGTTTAAAAGGGGCATATACCATAGATTGCCATGGTTGAGATCTTTTTGATCCACTTGCGAGCTGGGCTGTAATGCTAGGCTCTGACAAGGACGACCATCAGATGCAGAAAAGGCATAAAATGCTGTGCAGAGAGCTGTCAAGCTGAGACTGGAATGGATCTGTAGTTTTGAGACGTCATGGAAGTTTTTGTTGACACGCTCATTGTCAATTTGTGAATTTCAAAGGTTTTGGACGATTTCGGACTGGACTGGACTTGAACGGACAGAATTTGGATTTATGAGACCGAGTTTGATCAGTTTCGATGTCAGCTGTCATGAGTTTTGCACTGGTTTTCATTTTTGCTGCATGACATGTCTATGGGTTTTACTCGCGCGGAAACCACTGTGATCTATTTTGCAGTCATGTGAAGAGTTGTGCATGCATTGACAGTTGGTTGTGAGTTTGCATGTTTGCATCGGTCTGCATTATCTACGTTTTGTCTGAGACATTGAAGTTTGGTTGATTGCACATTACCTGTCAAGATGTGCGGCACGCATCTTGGGGTAATAAGAAGTGTGATCCTTTCGAAAGGGTGAATCATCTGTTAAGGTGTGCGTCACACACCTTAGGATGAGCAGAAGTAAGTTTATGCTTGTCATGGAATGGTTGAGTTGTAGCTTGCATGGCCAGTAAATGAATCGTCAAGTTGAACTGCAGATTATGCCCAAGTTGTACTTGGGTCCCGGCTTATCTCGCCGAGTGCATCAGGCCTTGACTAGGAGACTCGAACAATTCATGGCAGCGAACGCAGCAGCTCCAGCAACTCCAACAGCTCCAGCAGCACCGGCAGAATTCCCCGTTTCTGAAAACCCACCGCTGACATTGCAGGCGGGTGCGGTTGATACAGAGTCGGAGAAGCCAGATGATCAGGATGCTCATATGCATGGAGAAGACAATAGATCTCCGGCAGACAAGGAAGACAAGGAGGAAAGAGATGCTGGAAGAGATGACGACAGATCGAGATCTCCAAGATTGAGAATGCATGAACCATATGACCCCCATGATGCGACAGACCTACTGGCTTCCACCACAGGTTTGGCTGTGGGAATCACGTCAATGGTCGCTGCTCTGAAGGGTTCAACTGATAGGCTTGAAACCCTTATTCAGAGTACGCATACTCTGCAACAAGACCTCTGTCGTAGCCTAGAGGCCGTCGGTTCGTTGGAGCGGTTTGTGGGGAGTACACGAAGCTGAAGAAGCACTTAGAGTGGGCAATGGATGTGTCCATGGGAGATGTACTCAAGAAGAACGCCAAGAACCGCACAGAGCGAGATCAGGCCCTGAAAGAGGTCATAGATCAGCTTCTCGAAGCTATGGACAAGATGCAGGAGAATATGAAGAAGATTGCATCCCGTCTTGAGCAGGTGCCGGCAGGCCACGAAAAGACCATGGATTATGGTCCACCACAGCCTCCATTGGGGCACTTGGGTACTGCATCGGTGACACCAATGACACCACCGCCACCGGTGATGGCTATGGGATCAACAGGAATTCTACCCCCGCCGGCAGCGCCACCAAGTGTATCGCCGCCAATGGTTCCACCGAGACCCATGATTCCCCCACAGGCTCCTCTTCCCGTAGTGAAGTTTGCGGGATATAGCCCCGCCAAGATGGGAGAGCAGTGCATGACCCATCCTTTGCAGCTGGAAGTGACGGATGTTAAGACACCGCCTTGCCAAGTCCTTGAAGAGACTACGGGCCGCATTCGGTGCGTGTCACCAACTGGTCGCCATGACCCGGCGACGGGTACGGCGGCATTTGCGCCGTTGGGATACGTCTTGGTCAAGGGTACGAATGAGTACCGACGAGTATATCCCTAGGGATGGTTCACAGATGGTGCTAAGCCATGTAATTTGGAGGCATCCAGAGATCTTTCTTGCAAGAACGAGAGAATAGTCAGTTCTTGTCTGGCTCGAGGTTCACTCGTTTTCTTTGGCAAGACGTCATGCTGTAAGCATTTGTGCACATAGTGCAGTTTGAGATCGAAGTTCAAGCGCGAGTTTAAAAGGGGGCTATGCAGAGTGAGACAACTCAGGACTTGAATTGAATTGTCTTGGAACGGAAGGCTCTGAGAGCGTTGTGAGGCTTACTTTCTGTCTTGAATGGAAGCGGATGCTTTCCAAGTATGTTTACATGTTGTTAGTAGGTTGAAGGTATTTGAAGTTTTCATGATTCTCTCAATGACGATGGCGAGAGCAACGTTCATGAAGGCATTCAGAACTTGGAGTTGCTGACAGATCTGAGGGAGACATCATGAAGAAGAAGTTGATGTTGTGCTTGATTGGACTTGATGTTGTTGAACATGTTTTTGAATTGGTACGTTCATGTCTTGAAGCCTTAGTTCTTGCGTTCTGTTTTCGGAGGTTAACCATGTACATGTTGCAATAGCGTTGTCATGGCAAATGATGATAACCTGGGAAGAAACTCAGACGGAATCTGAGCCTAAGTAACTTGAAAATCTTCCAGGAAAATCTGATGCCATGATTGTAGATATATTGCACTTTCATGTCATGATAGGGACTTAAACAGGGTATATCACACCCTGGAGATCATTAGGATGGATCAGACGTTGAAAGGGGGACAGCGAACATTGTGCCGATCTTAGCTAGTCTGAATGAACCCTAGCTGTGAACGATTTTCATTCAGAGTATTTTTTGAATTCGTTATGCAGTGACTGTGAATGTTACTTTGAGAAGTTTTGAATTTGAGATGAGTTGCATGAGTGATATTATCTCACTTGCGTTTTCTTTTCACACGCCTACCTTCTTTGTGAAGGTGCGGATTAGCTGAAACAGTTGGCCTTTGTTTTCGTGTTGACTCCGATCGTGCTACGTTGGTCTTCGTCTTGGGTCTCGTGTGTGTGTGTGTTTGTTCTGTTCTGTTGTGTTGTTTTGTTTTGTTGTTGTTTTGTTTGTTGTAGGATGACAACAGTACTGTAGATATATCGTTATTGACGCCATGGTTTATCCGAAGAGCTGGATGTTGGAAGACAAATTTGGTACTGGAAAGACGCCGGAACTCTTTGAAAAAGATGATGGCCTTATTGTGTAGGGTCTGTTGATTTTTGCTGTGCAGATGTTTTCTGCACCGAGCGTGCGCCGCGTCTCCGTAATTTAATAGCACTCCTCCTCACTTCGCTGTCCTCGCTTCTTTACGCGCCAGCGTCTTAACTTGTGGTTTGTTGTTCTTTACAAACATCAAACAACTGTTTTTGGGGTAACTCATTGCAAAGCGATGATGACTCCTTTATTTGAGAACAAAACTGTGTTTCTTCAAAAAGCATGCGCTCACTTCCCAGGGAAAGTGAGCGCATCCATGTGTGAAATAACATCCTTTGTTTAAACAGAGGTTGTCGTTTTGACAAATAAGAAACAAACACATTTGCAGTGAATGTCTTTCAGTTGCAGTGATGTGTTTCCTTTTTTCTGACACAAACAGTGGTGCATGTTCTGTACCTGTTTGGTATCTCATTTAATTTTTATAATACTGAATCCACATCAATATATGTTGTGTCCGCAACATACTCTTTCAAGGTGTGGGTGGGTGGGACCTCAAACTTTTTTGAGGAAACCAAATAGCATGGGGGGCCGTTGATGGATTTTCATCGTATTTGGGCGGAGTGCCCTGCTGACGGTTCTTTGAAGTTGCCCTGGGAACATGGATTCTGGAAGACTTTTTTCGAGGGTCCTACTGATCCTATTGGTATTCAGGACTGGAAAGTAGCAGAGCCTCCACTTTTTGTTCCGTGTGCCTCCCGCGCTGAACCGGCGCCTGCCAAGAAGCTTCGTGTGTCCGAGCCCCTGTCATGGCATCACATTGTACGTTCAGGTGGTGAACAAACTTGGAAAGACAAACGTGAAGCTGATTTTCAAGTGGCATTACGTCGTTGGCATGATGTTTTGATTCTCTTGCCGTGTCGCATTGTCGTAGTTCAGCAACTTTTGCATTTGAAGACAACTGCAGAGAGATTGCGTATGTTGAGGGATGTTTTCTGGAAGAAGGCGCCTAGCACTCTTCGGAAGCGTGTGCATTCATTCCTGAGGTTTACATCAGACTTGGAAACACGCCGAATTGCTTTTCCTGGTACTGAAACAGATTTTTATGCTTTTCTGGATGAACTCAGAGTGGCCGGAGCCCCTGCATCTAGGATTCAGAGCATCATACTGTCTTTGCTTTTCGTGCAGCATGTTGTGGGAGTCCAGGAACTTGATCCCCTGACATCATCCAGGCGATGTCTTGGCGTGTCAGGTTGCCGCAACACTGGACCTAAGCGGCAGGCTGATCCGTTCAAAGTCTCAGACTTGGTAGCATTGCATGGTGTACTTGCAGACAACAGCAGAGACATATGGGATCGATGCATGGCTGGTATGATTCTATTAACAGTTTACTCACGCAGTCGTTGGAATGATTTGCAACAGGCTGAGTCCATGTTGTTGGATTGTGGCCCAGACGGAGTGGTGGCCTATGCAGAGCTGAAGATTGCAGACCATAAAACGAAACATTCAACTGCCTTTCGAAATAGTTTCTTGCATGCTTGTGCACCAGCGGCAGGTGTCGTGGATGATGGCTGGATCACCATTTGGGCGCGGGTACGCTCAGAGCTCGGGATTTCATTTGAAGCTGGACATCCAACCATGCCAGCACCATTGGAAGATGGTGGAATCAGTATGAGGCCTCTCAGCAGTGAAGAGATGAAACAGTGGACTTCCATTCTTTTGCACTCAGTTCAGATTGAGACAGATGGGCGTAGGTTGACGTCACACAGTTGCAAGTGCACGTTGTTGTCCTGGTGTTCTAAAAGAGGATTGCCCTGGGAAGATCGGCTTGTGCTTGGAGGTCACACCTCTGCAGTGCGCTCAGCTCTGGTGTATGCCCGTGATAGCCTGGGCCGTCCGTTGCGCATGCTGGAGAAGCTGCTGTTGGAGGTACGGTTGGGCCGTTTCTTGCCCGACGCTACAAGGAGTGGCAGATTTCCAACAGCCTTTGCAACGACATTTCATTGTGATGACGGAACCCAAAGTGATTTTTCATACGCCCCAAGTTTTGGTTTGGTGGAAGCTGATGACATTGCAGCCAACAACAACTCCCATGGTGACCTTGTGGAACCAGCAGAGCGACTTGAGAAGGGCACAGTGCAGCCCGTTGCAGATCAAGCATGCAAAGTCGAGGCCCCTGAATCGGTTTGGGAGTTGGCAGGTAGCAGTGAGGTGATTGACTTGGACACCTGCTCAGAGGATAGTGGATGTTCAGTTGCCACCACCTCATCTAGCTCGGATGAGGGAGCTGCTGAACTTAGCAGTGCAAGGAGACCAGTACATCCGCCAAAAGTGCCAAGTCAGTTGAAACTTATCCAACACAGAAAGCTCAAGACGTTGCACCTGATGGAATTGCAGAATCAAAGGGTGATGCTTTGTGGAAGAGTGGCTGAGACCGGCCGCTATGACAATGTTCAGGAAACAAGATTTGACACTCCGTGTTGCCACACGTGCTGGCGAAAGATTTCAGAGTATGCCTGAGGTCGTGCCCATTGCTGAAAAAGATCTTTGTCACGATCGATACGTTTTTTCATTGTGAGTGATTTGCAATGATTGTCCAGATGTCACTTGTTCACTTGCCAACGTTTCTTGGTGCAGTCATGTGAACGTAATTTTTAATTTCAGGAATTTCAGAAGCTTCTCACCAGTTTCAAACCACAAAACCAGTTGCAACCTGAACATGAGTGACGTCCTCAGGTATGAGATTCATGTCACATCATGTTGCAGTCTTTTATTTGTGACGTGTATTGTCCAAGTTGCTGCACAAGTGGATTCCAGGGTAAATTGTCAAATCTCGTTTGATCACCCTGCACTTGGATTCAGCGGCCAATCCATGGCAAATCTCTTCATGTGCGTCCTCGGCTCAATCATCCACCAAGCAGATGGTGGGCAACATGAACAGAGTCGTAGAACATCACACGAAACGGTGAGAGCTTGCATTTCAAATGACATCAGGTTCAATGCATTTTTTCAGGACAACCGTTGCTTGAAAGGGGCTAGTGACTCTTCATACATCGTAATATATGAACTTAAAACGGGTTCTCACTTCAATGAACCGTTGTCAATTTTATCCATGAACATTCTTTGGCCAATTGAGAATCTTTCAGACGACGATCTTGCAAGACGTCAACGTGAACTCCTTTTCAATTTGCGCTTGTGCAGATCCTTAAGGGACTTGCTGTGCTGCCATGTCATTGGTAGATTCGGAGGCTGCTTTTCAGAAACGATGTGATGAGTTGCTGGATGGACTTCATGACATGTTCACTCACCTTCAGATAGCAACGTTTTCGAGTTTGGCGTTTACGGTTGGTACACCTCAACAAGCAGTTTCAGAGCATGACATGCAACGATTTGCAGACCGAGTTGTTCAGGGACCTGCCTCGCTGGCTGAGGTGTCAATAGTTAGACGTATCCATTTTGAAGCACAGACATTGGTGATGTCAGACCTCAGGAAACAGGCAGTTGCAGGTGACACCTCTGAACCATCGAAGTCTTTGCCATACGTTGAGAAGAGGCGTCGACTTGAGGCGCAGCAGGCCAGGATTACAGGCCTTTCACACATGCATGAACAAAGAGCATCACATGGCCTCATTGACTTGTGTTTTCACATTGTTGAGTCGGGCGCACTTTTGTATGTGGCACCTTCCAAGTGCAGTTCCAGAGATTCAGAGATTCAGTCAGATGCAAAGACTAGACAGAAACAGCTGTTGACCCTCGAACAGGGAACGTTGAAGGCCGTGTCGGCCGATTCATTGCCGACAGTTGACATTGGCACAGAAATGAAATTGATGTACGCGCTGCAGCGTCGTGGATTGGCATTTGATCTGGTAGGATTGATGTCGTTTGATGCACATTCAGAGTGGGTGAACAAACTCTTCAGGGCACTCATGGCCGACACCCCAGCTCACTTTCAGGCGCTCAGTTTGCAACAAATCATCCGTGCAGACCAGGAGATATTTCTTTTGCTGGCTTCAGAGTATGATGGACCACTCAAGTCACCGATGGTAGATGGTGAGCCTCCATTGGATGCGCAGCTTCGTGTTTACATGACAGATCCTAGGGTCAACATGTACCTGGTCCCGGCTCCAGTTAGTCAGAAGCGCCCAGCGCCCGCGGCAAGTGCTGGTGACAAGCAGTCCCCACCTCCAACAAAGAAGCCACGTCCGGGTCCAAAAACGCCTGCCCAATTGCCGGCTGAGTTGACAGGATTTCATACCAAGACTTCAGACAACAAACCGTTGTGTTGGAATTTCAATTTGAGCAAAGGTTGTGCAAACGCCACCAAGAGAGGGCGCTGTCGTTTTGGTTTCCATACATGCATGAAATGCCTGAAGGGTGGACATGGGGCACACAAGTGCCATAGCAGTTGACAGGAGGCAGGCTCAATGTCACAGCTTGCTGGCGGTAAAACAGGAACACCTGTGGCCACTGGGGTCTCAGCGACTCCAGCAAATGAAGTTGTCGACGCTGAAAATTTTGTGAATGAAATAGCAGCTGAAACGTTGCGACCTTGCAGTCAAAATTCAAGATGCATCATTTTAGAAGTTTTTGCCGGCAGTGCTCGTCTTTCCAAGGCTTGTAGGAAACTTGGATTTGAGGCTGTAGCTGTTGACCAAACGAAGGATCGGTCTGAGCAGTTTCCAATTTTCCAAATTGATGTCACAGACTCCCAAAGCTTGAATGCCTTAGAGAGTTTCATCGATGTAGAGAAAGATGCAATTTTACATGCGCATTTTGCGCCATCATGCGGAACAGCATCTCGAGCCAGGGGACGTCCCATACCTGGCGAACATCCCAAAGCTGGACCTCAGCCACTCAGGTCTGAAACTTATCCGGACGGCTTGCCTGATCTCAGCTGTCGTGACCAAGAACGAGTAGACAAGGCAAACCGCAGCTACAGTGCCACTGTGCGTTTGATCAATAAGTTGGTTGCACTTGGCGTTTCGGTCAGCATCGAAAACCCCAAAAACTCCTTTTTCTGGAAATATTCAGATGTTGCAAAGCTTTTGGAATCGTTTGGCGGCAGACATGTTTCAGTTTTTCATCACTGTATGCATGGCGGCAAGCGTGACAAGCAGACCGCATGGTGGAGTTGGAACCCTAGAAATGCTGAGAAAGACCTGTTTCAACCACTTGCCCTGCAATGCGATGGTAATCACAAACATGACCCGTGGCGGCCTTACAAAGATGCCCACGGCCAAACAGTTTTTCCTACAAGTGAGGAAGCTGCATACCCGCAGTTGCTCTGTGACCGTGTTGCATACATTCTCAAGGACGAGGCTCTTCAATGTGGCTTTGTATTTTCAGAAGACTTGCACCAACAACTTTTGGAGACGCCAAATGTGGCTAGCAGGCAACTGTTTACAACGCAGCCCAAGGGGCAAAAGTTGAGACCACTGGTATCTGAATACGGAAGGTATGTTGCACTGCTTGCGTCGACATCAAACGACTCAGAAGTACAAAGTTTTTTGCAGAAGCTGCCCAAAGGAGCCAAAGTTTGTCATCGTATTCTCTTTCCAGGGGGTGTTGCTCGAGATGACATGGATAGCAAATATGAAGAAGTTTGTCAAACCGAGTCATGGAGAACAGGTGAACCATGTGAGCTATTGCAGGTGGGCATCCCACGTGAACCTGCTGACTTCATACGTGATGCAGTCCGGAAAGGCCATCCAAGAGATATCATTGCGCAAGTGCCCAAGGAAATTAAGGACGTTGTGCAGAGCATGCTGGATGGAGATATGTCAGGGCGCTTCAAATCGAGGGCATCCTTTTTGAAAAAATGGCTCAGGCGATCACTTGAGTTAAAGCATGAGGAGCAGGCCTTGCACCAGAAGTTGCCCCAACATTTGCAGCGCATTCTTGAGGGAAAGCGTCTCCTTCTCTGGCGTGAAATCCTAGTTGATTTGGAATACCCAGATGTTGCAGTGATAGATGATATATGCAGTGGCTTCAAGCTCACGGGATGGGCCCCGTCCACAGGTGTTTTCAGGCCGGACGTCAGAAGACCGTCCCTGGGGTTACAACAGTTGATCAGCATGTCGAAGGGCTTGAACGCGTCAGTGGTCAACTCTCTCAAAGGTGCAGCTGAATCTGAGCACGATCAGTTTGTTTGGGATGAGACTATGACGGAAGTGGCCAAAGGTTGGTTGGCTCCTAGCTCCATGGAAGGAGAACGTTTTGTGGCAAAGCGTTTTCCAGTGCCTCAGAAAGACAAAGTGCGACTTGTGGATGACTTCACGATTTGTGGTGTGAACGGTGCCTATGGGTTAAGAGAAAAGCTTCGCGTCCAAGCAGTGGACGAACTCTGTGCTTACTTGGCATTCATGTTGGATAAAGCCCCTAGTGGATGCCTTCCGAAGCTCACTGGCCGCACTTACGATTTGAAGTCGGCTTACAAGCAGTTTGGAGTGGACAAGTGGCATGCCGACAGGCTCAAGATTACTGTCAAGCGCCCTGGTGGAGGGGTTGGCATTTTTGCCGCCTTAGCACTACCTTTTGGTGCCTCGGGTTCGGTGAGCTCGTTCTTGCGTGTGGCGGCCAGCCTCACATACATTGGAGTGGTTGCTCTTCAAGTCCTATGGACAAGCTTTTTCGATGATTACACTTGCGTTTGTGTGGAGGGAGAAGAGACAAACGTGTCTTTTTATGTTGAATCCCTCTTCCGCCTGTAGGGGGTGTGGTTTGCAGAAACTGGCTCGAAGGCCACTTCCTTTGGGCCCTCCTTCAAGTCGCTTGGTGTGGTCTTTGATGTTGGTGCGATACCTGACGGAACCTTTACCTTACAGCATACTGAAAGCCGGAAGTCCGAGCTGATACAATTTCTTGACAACTTGATCAGAGCGCGGAGGTCGACCCCCAAAGAACTGGAGAGACTCCATGGAAGGCTGATCTGGTTCGGTGCGTTTGTCTTCGGTAGGATGATGAATCAACTTGTCAAAACTGTTTCACTTGAGTCGTTGCAAAGAAAGAAGGTGATCAGCTTACATCAGAATTTCTTCAGACCTTGACGGACTTGAAACATGCGATAGGGTCCTCGAAGCCGGTGGTGATTTCAAAGACACTTTGTACCACTTGGTACGTCTTTACTGACGGTGCATATGAGCCTGATTCAGACGTTCCTGCCAGTGTAGGTGCAGTCTTGATTTCGCCGACAGGCACTCCAGTTCAGTGTTTCGGAGAGATCGTCCCTAAGACCTTAGTGGACGAGCTGCTGCAGCATTCATCTCATCCTATTTACGAATTGGAAGTGCTTCCTGTCGTGATGGCCACACGGCTTTGGATGAAGTATCTGATGGGGTGCCCCACCGTATACTTTCTTGATAACGTTGCAGCCAGAGCAACTTACATAAAGGGTGTGGGCGCTACGCCTCCTTCCATTCTCTTGCTCAAAGACTTTGTTCGCTTGGAGGCAAGGCTGAAGATCTACTCATGGTTCGGTCGAGTTCCGAGTCATTCGAACGTGGCTGATTCTCCAAGCCGCCTTGTCTTTGATGACCCAGTCCTGTCGGGCTGTCCTCGAATACGGATGGTGCTTCCAACTCACATTCATGAAATTGGGGATGGCACAGGGTGAGTTGGAAAGCCGTTCCAACCCAAACCAACCTGGTCGATCTTTCCCCGCAGCATGGTGAAAAAGAATGCGTTGTCCGAGTGAATCTGAGGTCATCATTTCTTTCAGTGCACATGTCGTTCAGTTGGATGTTTTTCACACATGACTGTTTTCGTGATTGCACTTTGGATTTGCAGATTTATTTGGCGATACGAATCGAAGCGACGTGGCGTTTGTTTTACGTTTTTTGTTTTACCTTATCTCCCTACGGGAGTGGTGTTGATCAAGGTCTAACTTTATGTTAGGGGTGCTTGGAGCGTGGCGCCTTCAACTGACCTGAAATAATAAGCCGGAACTCTTTGAAAAAGATGATGGCCTTATTGTGTAGGGTCTGTTGATTTTTGCTGTGCAGATGTTTTCTGCACCGAGCGTGCGCCGCGTCTCCGTAATTTAATAGCACTCCTCCTCACTTCGCTGTCCTCGCTTCTTTACGCGCCAGCGTCTTAACTTGTGGTTTGTTGTTCTTTACAAACATCAAACAACTGTTTTTGGGGTAACTCATTGCAAAGCGATGATGACTCCTTTATTTGAGAACAAAACTGTGTTTCTTCAAAAAGCATGCGCTCACTTCCCAGGGAAAGTGAGCGCATCCATGTGTGAAATAACATCCTTTGTTTAAACAGAGGTTGTCGTTTTGACAAATAAGAAACAAACACATTTGCAGTGAATGTCTTTCAGTTGCAGTGATGTGTTTCCTTTTTTCTGACACAAACAGTGGTGCATGTTCTGTACCTGTTTGGTATCTCATTTAATTTTTATAATACTGAATCCACATCAATATATGTTGTGTCCGCAACATACTCTTTCAAGGTGTGGGTGGGTGGGACCTCAAATTTTTATGAGGAAACCAAATACCCACCCTTGTCTTCCCACCCGGTTTCCTCTGGTCTGTATGACCTATTTATTTTTTTCGGTCCGTTTGACCATCGTTTTTTGCCTCGAGTTGGAAAGCCGTTCCAACCCAAACCAACCTGGTCGATCTTTCCCCACAGCATGGTGAAAAAGAATGCGTTGTCCGAGTGAATCTGAGGTCATCATTTCTTTCAGTGCACATGTCGTTCAGTTGGATGTTTTTCACACATGACTGTTTTCGTGATTGCACTTTGGATTTGCAGATTTATTTGGCGATACGAATCGAAGCGACGTGGCGTTTGTTTTACGTTTTTTGTTTTACCTTATCTCCCTACGGGAGTGGTGTTGATCAAGGTCTAACTTTATGTTAGGGGTGCTTGGAGCGTGGCGCCTTCAACTGACCTGAAATAATAATTTAAAGTCTTTGGACTGAGTCTGGTATTCCTACATCTGGTTTCGAAGATTTGTGCTCTTGACAGTATGTCATGAAGATTGTCATGACTGGAGTTACATGAGTCTTTTCGTCGTTTTCGAACGACAGAGTTTTGAATTTGGAACTTGCGACATTATGCATGAATCGAGCGAGATGAGTTTTTGGATGATATTTCATCATCTATCTTGCGTTTTATTGGGAACGTGTTTGTCATTGATCGTCTTTTGGTCACGGATGTGATCTGAAACCATGAACACTCCTGGTGTTCAGTGCGTACAATATAGTGATGTGGAGTGGGTGAGATGCCATGTCGAAAGGGGGTATGGAAATTTGCCACCCTGTGGGAGCACCCTTTGGGTAAGGGTGAAGCGACATGTCATTCATCACCGTGGTGTATGGTTTATGTACAGAAGATGTGTGGAAGGCTACTACAAGAGTTCCTCGTTCACACATGATGCGGATGGTAGAGAACACTCTACTTGTTGCAGAAGGAACCTGTGTATTTGACCTACAGGTTGGTCACAATATTCTATTAGTCTTCGGACTTATCATCCTTTGACATTCGGAGATGTCATTGAGCAGTGTTGACCTGAGTGTAGTGTATTGATCAGTTCTACATCTTATTCTGGATTCTGCTTGAGTCTGGTACAGCTTATTGCTTGAGCTGAAGATACCTACATTGGCTTTACATTGAGATTTTGTATTGTGTCTTCGACACTAAGAAGTCTATTCTCTCCAAGTGATGAGAGCGCAGCTATAAACTCTTGGAGAAGAGGTTAAAGGTAGCTGGAAATATCTGATGGAGAGAATCTACTACACTTGGAGTTTTGGGACAACAAGATGTATTGGCATTATGAGGACAATAACCATATTGACACATCTTATTTGTCTGAAGATTTTATATGATGAGATGTTTCGGTATTGTGAGGACAATACCTACATTACCTACATCATCGTCATCGTGACCTACAGATCGCACAATATGAGGTCCCATCTTATCATTCCTGAGGTAACTTTGGTTATCTCTGTGAGGACGACATTGTGCGAGACGACTTTGCTTTACATTGTGGATTGGCTATTACAGTGGTCGAAAGACTTCAGCGATACAACTGTATTTGGCTGACCTACATTGACAATGTCGAACAGAACATTCTATTCTACATTGAGGTTTGAAGCTGTGAGATGTTATCTCTATGTGGAAAGTTGATTTGGAGATGGAACGTTGTGTTCTGACTATGTTTTGTATTCAGAAGAAGGTTGTACAGATACCTTGTGTGAATCACTTCGTTCTTGAGAAGTTAGCCAGCTAGCTAACGAACTGGTTATTCACGTTTGGATGAGAGCCAGTTTGCTTTGAGAACTTTTGGAAGTGTTTCGATCTGTTTGAATTCACCTAGTGAAAAGTGGATTTGTAGATTTGTAGCAGCTGGAATTGTTTCAACAAACCTTTATTTGAAGAACTTGAGGTTTGTTAACTGGAAACCTAGAATCGAGTTTACCAGTTGAGACATCGGCTCAAGGGAGTTATGTCAGAAGTTCATTTTATGAACAGAAGCTGCTGTGTCACTTAACTTGACATCAGACCAACAGAGGGAACATCTTTCCTTGTTCCTCTTCCTTTGGTTTCTTGTTTTGTTTTGGTTGTTTGTTGTGTTTGTGTTTCCCTGTGACTGATCATGTTGCGTCTGGAGCGAAAAGAAGGAGTTCGACGTCAGCATGTGGGAGTCGAGGGTGAAACAGTTTTCTTGACATGACAGTGATCCAGTTTTAATTAGGTTTGCGACTACACGCGCTGCGCTTGTGTTTGGTGTGCGTGGTTGACGTACGCGTCTGCCTGCGTAGTTCTGTAGGAATTTTGATGAAGCGTTGGATCTGAATGCAGATCTGTGCACGGCGCTTTTTCACACCAGAGGATCACTGACCTTGAAGCGGCCACACGCCAGTTGCGTCTGAGCTGCATCTTAGACAGTTGCACGATCTCCGCCAGTTACGAAGTTAGCCAGGCGCAAAAAGCCATACTGCTTATGCCACGCACAGCCAAAGGTGCAAGCACGTCATCTGAAGAACTCATCGCACAGATGTCACCACTCACAGATGATGAATTTCATCTTCCAGCTCATGAAGACCGTTTCGATGAACACTAGTGAACCGGACAGCACAAACCGGCAGCTTTCCAAGGAAACCCCACTAGCACCTTGCCCAACAAGCAAGCACCTTTATGGTCGAGCACAGGAAAATTACCCAAGAGTTTGATGATTGAAAAAGCACTACTGAGCGGACTCTGAGCGCGCCCTGACTGCTGTAGGTGCCTCATCATCTTTTCTCACCCTAGCTCATGTTTCACAGTCTGTTTCACTGTTTCTTTTCACCACTTTCGTTGCGACACGGCTTTGTCGTTGTTTGCTTCGAAGTGACTCTGTGAGTTGTCATGCCTGGAAGGCTTGCGCCATGTGATCTCGGGGATCCTGGCTGGGGGGATCCCTGGTTTCCGCATGGTGCGTTGTTGCTTCACTCACCTACCTTCTAGTATGGCAATGTGATTTTGGTGTTCTTCCCTCTGTTTCTGCTGCCATACCATTTCGAAATGATACAATGTTATCACCTCTTGCATTAATTAACCTATGAACTGGTACCAGCCACGTCTCTTTTTTGGTTTTGTTTTGGGTTGTTGTGGTTTGTGTTGTTTTTGTGTGTTTGCTCTTTGTTTTGGTTTTGTCTTTTGTTTTGTGTGGTGGTTTCGTGACGGCCTATTGGACTATGTACAGGTCCTTTACCAGTTCTCTCTTGAGGCCCCTCAATCAGCAGACGGCCTTGTTTATGCGTTAATTAGTCAATTAACCCTCTTTTGCAATATGCAATTGAATGTGTTGAACGACCTGGCGGAAGCCATGAAGGCGTTGGACGGAAAAAAGCTCTATTGGATGTTGTTTTGTCTCCGAATGATGACACATGTCAGTCAGGTAGCTTCGAGCTACGTCTTAACTCAACCGTGTTGAGAGACTGACGTCTGAAGGGGACAAACACGTGTGCCTCCAGGTTTCTGCACTCAGTTGGGTCCTGGTAGTGGGGGTAGTCTTAGGACTGTACCTGTATTGCTGGAAGATGCCACGAGAGTCAGGGTGCCGTCGAGTCCTGGTGAGTCGAGCTCTAATGGTAGACCTGTTACTAAGGTAGAGGGTGTTGATCCTGTGATGTCTGTGCCGTTTTGTGTAGGGGTCATTATTTCAACAATTTCACCATGCTGCGGGTGTTGTATTGGTGCCTAGTTGTCCTTCACTGAGTTAGCTCCTTCGGGTGACACCCCGTGCCCCCCTTCCTTGTGCCCCTTCTCCACGGCGCCTGCTGCTGTCTCCCTTCTGTCCTTTGCTGCCTCTCCCTTGTTCTCCTTCTGCCTTTTTTTGTTTGTTGTTGTCCCTTGTTGCCTTGTTGTTTGGTTGCTCCGCTTCTTTTGCACTGGATGACTCGCGACTTAGACACCTCAGGCTCACGCTTTCACGTCCGCAGACTGGACGGGTTAGTCTGCATTTGGTTAGATTTGGTCCTGCACTTAAGTGACTATGGTGGCTAAGGCACAGGATACAATGTCCCACCACCACACCCCGCGGGGCAGTCGTGGAGCACCCTTCCCATTGCACATAACAAGCAACTGCGCCGTAGCTCCTTGGTGCAGGTTCCTGTG